TGGTGCTTTCACTTCCAGAGACAGTTGTAAGCACTGTGTAACTGCCTCGAGGGTGCTTGACCATTTTAACACAACGTGGTGCGATCATCCCCCTTGCGAGGAGTGAGGGTTCTCCACCCCGCACAACATGATCTACTCGACCACCATTATGGTTACCGCCAAAAAAAAAACCGGAGGTAAAACAGAAACGGTAACCTGGTTGCCGAGTTCACGAAGTGAATTGGCTTGTTTTACAACGTCGTTGCCAAGCGACGAAAACCCCATCCCGATGGCAAGCACCGAGGGAAGGGGATGGGGCGGGAAAGTGCGTTCCACAACTCCCGACAGAACGTCGAGTTTCGTGGTATGACGGGCATGGATCTTTGGCTTTGAACTTGCGTGGGAGTCAATGTCAACTCACGCACATGCCTTTTAATTTTTTTTTTTTTCAGGGGAGGTAATCGTGCCGTACTACCCCGAGCTTCTTCAAGCCTTGCATCCCCTCTTCGCGCTGACGAGCAAGGGCACGGAGGGGGGCGTGGTGGACAACGCGGCAGCCGCGGTGGCGAGGATGATCATGGCGGCGCCGGCGGCGTTGCCGATGGACCAGGTGCTCCCGGTGTTCCTGTCCGCGCTGCCGCTCAAGTCGGACCGCAGCGAGAACGAGACGGTGTACACGTGCTTGCTTGGGCTGATCCACCTGCGTCACCCGGAGGCGCTGCGGTTGCTGGACCCCATCATGGGTTAGTGCTTCATTTTTAGCCGTAGGTTGCATGACGTAACATACCACACACCCCTGGCCCAGTTTGCAAAGCTTGATTACATGGAGGGTGTCGTATTCAAATGGCAACGTTTTCGGAGCGCTCTCAACGAGACGGTTCCAACGCCTCCCGCCATTCTCGTCACCGTCGTTGTTTTTGCTTGCCGAGCAATGGAGCCTTGACAATCGGTCCAGGGGGTGTCGCATCTTGTACTTTGTTTGCAACCTACGGTCTGCCGTTCGTGGTGGGGGCGAATGGTGCTGGTGGTATGTAGTTGCGGATTTCCCTTCCAGGTACGCACGCTGCTTGTTGGAAGCTGATACTGTTGTACGACGGGACCTGTTCTTCTGCGGGTGTGCGTGCGGGGGTTGGCTTTGGTAGGTGGCGTTGGTTCTTGGCTGCCGTTTCCCCATCCTCTAGCCCTTGTCCTCTGCCTGACTCACCCCAAGCGTTCGCTTTCGCGCTCTTGCACTAAACAGCGGTGGTGGCTCAGGCGCTAACACCAGCGGCCAAGGTGCAGGAGGAGATCCAGGACACCTTAGTCAAGGGGATCCAGGCTGCGGCGGGGGACCTCGGCGAGCCTTTGAATGCGGCCATCGAAAAGCTTCCGGAAGACCTCAAGCAGGGGCTATTGCAACGCCTCAACGCGCAATAACAGAAGATGCTATCATAGGCGAGCCAGGTGGGCAGTAGTGCGATGACCGGAGCAGGCTTTTCCCCTGTCTTTGGTGAGTACGCTGGTACCTGTTGCTGCCCTCGTCGATGCCTGCTGCTGCTCCTGCCCGATAGAGGGTTTGTGCCGAAGAAACGGTGCGCACCAGACAGGGCGCAGATATTGTAATCCTGTTGTGTGCCTGGGATCTCTGTACGCGTTCGTTCTACTGACTTCGTCGTCGATTGTTGTTAGCTTTGAACGCCATGGGATTAGCGCCCAGCTGAGGTATGGCTGGGGAGAGGGCAGGGGAGAGCTATGGGTGGGTCTTTTGGGGGGAGTGTGCGTGTGGATACAAACCTAAGACAGACGTTGATGTTTCTCCAGCTTGTCAGTTTGTTGGCCACCAGACGGGACCAGTTTTACCCAATGTGTGATAGAGGGAATGGTCCTCGACCCGTATGTAGGGGATCTTTCCACATTACCTCCTCCCTTTTTTGAGTCCTTCGGGTTGCTAAGCAGGCAAGAAGGCTTCTAGGGGCAGTGGCCGGAATCCGACGGACTAGCGGCGTGTCGATTCACTTCTTCACAATGTTTTTGCGTGATTTCATGGGTTCAGTACGTCCGCCACGTTAATTGCATGCTCCACGAGTTCGAAGTTTGTTTTTGCTCCCCCACCGATTTTTCCCTCCTTTGTTGGGAGAAAAAACGTGTGGCGGGTGGCGGATCTGTACCCGGGTTCTCTCTTCCACCAAAAGCTGGCATGTCATCGCGAACGACAATGTGAACAGAGGGGATCGTCTTCGCAGACGTTTGAAGATTGTACCCTTTCATGAAGCGGATCTCCACGATCGGCGGGAAAACTGGGATGTGAAGTAGAGGCAGGCACGCGAAGTGTGGGTAGGTGTCCCTGGTCGAGATCGTGTGAATGACGATCGAGGCGGCTAAAGTACAAGCTTCTTTAACCCCTTTGGGTCTGGCTCTTTTCTTATTTTCGGCAAAAAATAATTGGGAGGAGAGAATGCGAGAGAGAGACAGAAGTTGCAGAAAGAAACTTGTACTTCTGTAGACGGAACAGCTATCTCCACCCATAGGCCATGAGGGCTGCCCGCGACAGGACGGTGGGCACATACAGGGTCATGGAAGGGTAAATGTGTGGTAGCGGTGCGGCCGCTAGGGCAGGTAAGGCTTGTAGACCTCGAAAATATCAGTCGTCAAGCAGCCTAAACTAGTCTATTTTCAATATATTCAAATGATCAGTGAGAGGGCTTGTAGACCCACAGCTGGTTCTTGTACTTCTGTACTTCTCTGTCCCCTCCTCAATATGAGCCTGCCGGCTCACTACAGCTCCTGTGATTTTCCCAATTCCCACAAGCACGTAGACACACCACAGCACACACCTTTGCATCAGTGGCTCTCTAGGTTGGCGCGAGGCTATGTGTAGGGCTATGATGATAGTGTATGTGTTACTACTGTATGTTGGACTCGTCTATATTGCTGCTGCTGTACGGTATAGCTGCTGACACGATGACTGCTAGATCTTGGGAGCGTACGATTTTCAAATTTGGAGGATATGCAGCATACGACATCATATTTTGGCCTGGTTGGGCTTGAACTGCCCCTATCGCTGTCATCCTGTCTTTCCTTAAGTGGCTTCCTAGATTCGGGCGAGGGCATGTATGTGGAGCTATTGATGTGTGCCTCTGTGAAAGGATATGGCGAGAGATTCATGGTGGCATTTGCATGTAGAGCAGTGTACATTTTTCGAATTTTGGCCGTTCCAGGGACTTGATGTTACCCGCTGGCACTGCTGTGACGTTTTTGCATTGGTCACCGGGTAGCGCGGTCGATGCGAATAATAAAGACACCTACCGGTTGACTTGCCAACACCTGGCGTGGAGGGATACAGGGCAACGACTCCACGGCATGCCACGACACCATCATTTGCAAGTGATTAATCAATGATCAATCAGGACGCCTGTAGACCCAAAAGGGTTAAGGGAGATGTAGGGTTTTCCCGGTGTAGCGTCTGTCCACTGCAGCCAATTGTTCAGGAATTTCTCACCGAAGCGCATCCGAAGGTTTGCGGTACGTTTTTTTACGTTATGTACGCGCCCTTTGACCCCAGGAGGGCTGCACGGCACACAAGGCAGACCACACTCATGCCAGAATGTTGTACAACATGTTGCACGCGGTCGGTTGGGGAAACGGTTGCTTGTCGCGCACACGTGGGTGGTTCCGCGAGTTGACACGCAACAACTGAGCGGAGTCGTGCAGCTAGCGGCTTCCACTACGTTTGCACAGTCAAGCCCAGCAAACAACCGGGACGGGGGGAATATGTTCGGTCAAACCAAAACTATTACCGGATGCAGGTGGTTCATGGTGCGGTGTGTAGCTTGGCGTTTTCCAAACCGCAGCAGTGCACCACAATAATACGTTCTCCGCGAGCGCAAAACCAAACCCTACTGTGGATACAGTGGCTAGTCCGACGCCCGAACGACGTGTTTGCTTCATCCAGACCTCTCCTCACATGGCCGGGTACGTTTGGCACTTGATCTGCTGGCGCGCCCTTTCTGTTTCACGACACGATTGACTTGACTTGCGGTTGTTGGTTAACCCTTGCCGCGATTCATCACGCGGCAGCTGATGACAAAGGAAAAGAGACGCGAACTCTCGTGAACTGCGCGCCTTTTTTAAACTACTTGGTGTGCGCCAAGGATGAGTCCTCATCACACCGACCTTCACCATCAATGCCTCTTAGCTTCGCTACCCCAAAAATCATTTCCTGTCAGTGTGCCCAGCACCCCGCGAACCCCTGCCGCGCCGCTTTCGTCTCCAAAAATGACGCCAGTTCCGCCAAAGCTTGGGCAAACCCCTTCTTTCCTGACCCACCCGACTTCTCCTTACAGCCAGCACCACCCTTGCTACTGCTGTTGCTGCTGTTGCTGCTGCTGCTGCTGCTGCTGCTGCTGCTGCTGCTGGCCCCACCGCGAGGCCCTGCTCCCGCTCCTGTTGCAATGCACAGCCCCAAGGCGCCGTTCACAGCCGCGAGTCGACGAAGGAAGGACAGGCCTGCAGCGTTGGCAGCAGTTGGAGTTGAAGACGATGTCGCGGTGTTTAGACCGGTCTGGTCGCTGCTGTGCTGTTGATCCCATTCAATCACGAACAGCTCCACATACGCCACGGTGGACGCGAGAAATCGGAGGATGGTGGGGGCCACTTGGAGCGTGGTTGCGTAAGCGCGTCGCTGCCCGGACCTCGCGGAGCCCGACGAAAGCAGTGCCTCGAGCTCCGCGATACGCTCCCGCAGGCCCAGAGCACTCTCGGCGCATGCCTTACACAGCGTAGCCATCATCTGTCTTTGGGGCAGCGGGGCGCACGTGATGACGTTGGTCGGAGGGGAAATACGACCGTGATTGTCGTCTGGGAGAAAAACACCGCGGTCCTGCAAGCGACACTGGTTGCGCTGACCGAGGCATTCGTGGCCAAAGCAAGATCCCACGCCCGGACGCAGCTGCTGCTTGTTGTAGTGGACGGCAAAGGCTGAAGCTCGGGTCGGCGCCTCTACGCTCCGTTGATGCCGCTGGAATCGGCGAGCTAAGCTGGCACCGTGCTCTCTGAGAGCCTCGTTTACCCTGAGGAGGCTTGCAAACATGCCGCTTGTTGACCCTTGCACGTTCTTGTTCTGTACTATTCCAGTGGCACCACATTTTGCGGGAGGCAGCCTGGCATCGTGCTCGACGGCCCCGGGTGCACGGGGAGGTGGTGGCACAACCAGCCTACTCGCAGTATCCACAACCATCAAAACCACCCTCTCTTCGGATGGTTGCGCGTTTTTTTTTTCTTCCTCCTCCCCCTCCTCCTCCTCCTCCTCCTCCTCCTCCTCCTTCTTCCCCTGCACTTTCCGATTTATCTCTCCATCTTCCTTGCATGTCCCGCCACCACAGCGGCGGCCGTCCCCCGATATCTCCACTGACATGCGCGCAAGATCTCCCCCGTGACTTCCACGAAGAACCTCGACCGATATCGCTCGCCGCTCGAGGGCAAGCGCGAGCCCGTCGAACTCATCACGACAAGCCCTAAGGTCTACCTCGAGCAGCTCGTGCGGGTGGAACCTTGGCACCCACCCCGAACAGTGGGCCTCGCATTCGTCAAGAGCCTTGGCGAACGCGGGAAAGAAGCTGTTGCTACTGTCTACACGCCCCACTCCCACACTTTCTTCGCGATCCACCGTGTCCCTGCCAGCGTCGTATCTTCGGCAGAGAACGAGAAAGAGCGCAGCCGTAAGCTGAACCAGTTCAGGCGCGGTCTGAGGGCACGACCGAGAGGGACGAAAAACGCGAGACACGTCGATCTCGCCGTGGGCCACCTTGCCACGGAGGTTAGGACCGGCACTCATCATGAAAAGGTCGAGCAGACACGCCGACATTCCGGGACCGAGGGCAGACAATAACAAGTTCGGTCGGTCGGGGCAACCGCTCATCTCTTGATCCAGCAGCAGCTGATGCCTCGCACGCTGACCGAACCCGTCCAGCGTCGAATAATACCTCAGCGTGTGGGCGAACATGTGCCCCGGAGAGTCATTCGCAGACGAGAACAGGACCCGAAGGCCGTGCTCCAGCACAGGCAGTAACGCCACCAAGAAAAACGCGATGCCGCCACCGTTTCCTTCCTCCTCGTCATCACCCTGTGCGTCGCGCTCACCTGCGAGTGCTCTCAGCGCAAGCATAGTCAACTTTTCCCTCCCCGGAAGCACGAACGCCGACCGCCTGACCAACGCCTTCAGTTCGCCTCGGTGCTGAGCGCTGAGCAGGCACTCAACCGCCGAGGTAAGAGCTCGCGGACATGCTAGGCGATCGTCGAAAGAGTCCAGCTCCCACCAGGCTGCCGCCGAAGAGGAAGGGTGTAGTTGGGGCGCCGTCATTGGCAGCGTAGGCGGTGAAAGCGGGAGCTTCCGCGATGAGAGTTCTGGTGGTTCCCCAAAACGTGCAACGTCCCCTGCCTCCCCCTCAGGCGATAAGTCGGCGGAAATACTTAGGGTCACTACGAGGACAAGGGAGGCTAGCTCTCTTGGGAGCTCGCAAGGAGCCAGAAAGCCGTGCCACTACGATGAAATTGTACGCACAATGAAAAAAATGGGAGGGGTAAGCAAAATTGGTTGTAATTAGTGCACATACAAGGCTTGGCCCCACGAATCAAAGCGAATGTTGCACCAAGTTAGTGTCAAGGGACCGAGGACAATCGATTTTCGATTCTGACTGAATTTGTTGACATACTGAAAAAATGAAAAGAGCAACCAGCAACCACGCACGAGATGTATCAGACCAACGAATTGTTGGGGCGAAAAACTCCGTTTGTTGTCTCGCAGACCGATAGTTGGGGGTTGTCTCCACAAGCATATCATACAGTACATCCGTACTCCCCTCCCAAAACTAAGATAAAATATCACTGGTCGAAATCCAAGGCCCAACAGTCCATAATGTAGGCAATACTGGTTGGGCTTCAAGAGTCGTCCCCTTCAATGGTATGTCAGCAGAGAACGTCACGGAGCAACCGCGTCCGTGCTGGCACTCTCAACCCTGTCGTTGAGGCTGGGCTACTTTATCGAAGGCCGCAGCTGCGGTCCGATAAGTCCACACATCAGGGTCAAATCATTCATATTCCATATTGTACTTCCGCCGTGGTAGCCCTGTAATGTCGGTAGTGCAGGTGTCTAGCGCATGTACTTCATACCACTAGCTATCTGCTTTGCGTGACCTCCAGTTCAGGGAACTGGGGCTCGTGGCTGCGAGTAGAACAACGCCAAAGAAAATTTGATTCGGTTCAAGATTTGCAAAGTTTGTGGATCTGGTCGGAGCGTTCGGTAGCGCAGCCCCAGCAGCGGGTGGTGGAAACGTGCAAGTCGTTCCTTACCAACCTTGTACTGAATATCTTCGAGAGAACCGCTCTTACACTTGAACACCCGCTCACAGCCACCAACAGACCCCGGAAAAAATCATTTGCGTTTTTCAGACTGTGGCAGTTCGGGCAGCTGAATTTTGAGAGACAGAGAGAAACAGTCCGGTGGGGAAAGAACGGCCAAACCTAATGAATCTTAAACATCGAACACCTTACCACGAGATTCCTAATATTAAATCCCATTGGCAGGAGAAGAAGACGCAGAATCGCCACAAGCTGCTCAGGGAGAGCCGCCTTGACTTCTGGGGTCGCAATCAGGTCCCTGAGTATCATTGCAGGCGCACCAAGCGACCCACCACGCCCATCAACGCCCGCGGCGTCTTCTTTGACTTCGGAACTCTCCTCGCGAGCTAGCGTACTGTCGGAGCGGTGCTGTTCTCCCACGCTGCGATAGTTATTGTTGGTTTGGCTGACTCCCTTACGGTAGATTTCGTACAACGCCCGCTCCAGGATTGTAAGGCAGACGCAGAGCGCCACGTAGACTTGCTCTTCGCTCGATTCCGCTCGGACGATGCGTTCGACCACGCCCGGCATCTGCAGTCGCTCGTTTGTCACTTCTCGCGGTACCGGTGGCAGGGGGGGCGATGTCGGCGCTGCAAGTTGTTCCAGCTGTCCTTGCCTTCGTTGCTGTTGCTGCTGTTGTTGCAGCGCCGCATGGCAAGCCACGGCGAGACGTGCGCCGTCGGCAAGAGCCTCTACGCCACCATCACCAGTTGCAGACATCCGCACGCGCGACCACTCTACTCTCCCGCCCTCGCTGAAGAGTGATATGTCTTGCTCGCCTACGCTAGTTTTCCCTTCTGTCGGTCCTGCTGCTGCCGTCCGGTTGCCTTGTTGCCGTCCAGCGGCGTTCTCTACGAACCTTAGGCGGGCGAGCACCTCCGGCGAAAGGCAGCTGAGCGTGGGCGGTTTTGGGCCAGACTCAACCTCTGAGGAAAGAGTAGCGATGTCGCTTTCTCGCCGGACAAACGAGCTGAGACCGCGAAGGAAGGGACTAGAGGAAACGAAGGCTGCTTCGAAGCAGCCGTCGT